GTAATGAGAAATATATAGGATTTAACCCCCATGTTTACCTAGAAACCCTGGACACAGCAATAAAGAAGTGGCTTCAAAAGATGCAACTATGTAGCTTTTAATGCGAAAGAGAGCAGATTTCTTTGTAGAAGGGAAAAACAGGAGCACTGACATGGTTTATTACAGGAAGAGTTTTTATAGGGCTGTTGGTTTCAGAGAACTCCTGGTGACAAAGCAACTGATGGCAGTGATAGGCCGGTGACGTCACTGTGACGTCAGCCCTCTTGCTTCTCTTGCACATGCTGCGCTTTGGGAACACTTTATGTTGAGCACTGACGGGGCAACAAGAGCAGTCTGTATGCAGAAGCCCATCATGGCTGTAACTGGAGACGAAACAGGTAAGGATGGAAAAAGGGGACTTTAATTCATGATCCAGATCTTCCTGAAGTTTATAGAAGTATTTAGGAACATCTGCGTGCTCCACACAGTGTTATTTCCTAGTCACTCAGAAGCAAGAAGTTTCTTTTAATGTTTATCTGTACATTCAGCTCACTTTGTTACGGCGTCTTAGTGTAATTGCTTCTTTGTTTAGTATCCTGTGGCTTGCTTGGCTAAGGCACCCCTCCTAGCCCCATTTCTAACTCCCCCCCCCCGCACCTCCCCCTGCCTCTCCCCTCCCCCTCCCCCTCCCTCTCCTCCCTTAGCTGTTCTGCCCTTCTGAAACAAGCTATTATTTCATCTGCAACCTGTTGCGAATTCAGCCCAGCTAAATACATGTACTGTTTATGTTGTAAAACATTAAGCTTCTGATCTCACTTCTGTGTAGGAAGGCAGCGTTGGAGAGGCCGCCAGCTGAGCGTCCTGCAGGCTGCCTCTCTCCTCCTGCTTTTAGAGTGGTCTGTTCCTCCCTAATTGAGTTCAAAGGGCTGACGTCATCACATTTCCTGGAATCGTGTTTCAGCAGGGAAGTGGAAAAGTTAAACTCGGAGCGAGCTGCACATTGACGTCAGCTCCGAGTCAGCTTGTGATTTAGTCAGTTCCTTTCTGCTTTACCAGGCACTGCCGCCAGCCTGAGAGTTGTTAACTCGCTCACCGCAACCCTATCTCCAAGATCGCCCCTAGCCTGAGTAGCTTTTCTTGTCAGCCCCTGTTAACGTTTCTCAGGAGGTAAGTTCACGGTCCAAGAGGGGCCCTAGGACGCCAGGAGTGCAGGCGTAGCGGCCGGATCGCTCACGATCGCGGCGCCCGAGGCAGGGCCCGCACGTGCATGGAGACGAGGGAACTGCGCGTGGGCTGTAGAGTGGGTCCTACTGCGACCAGAGGGTCGGGGCCAGCGCCCTCTACCGCCCGGTCGGGGAGGCGCTGGTCTAGTGTTTCCCCAGCGGCTGGTGTTTACGTAAACTTGTAACGAACGGTTCTTTTTGTGGTTTGCTTTTCTTAGTTACAGAGAAGTGATTTTGTAAGACTTAGTTACTAGTGACCTTCGTGTGGTTGTAACATTGTTCTTCCAGTGGTTTCATTTGTAACCCAGTTCAGAATTTGCGGTGCAGTTCAAAATGAATGGATCATTATCAGGCTTTGTCACACTCTGGCTGTTTGGTTGGTGGTATTGGCCCTCTTTCTCCCCTGGAATATTCCATTGTCTTGACCAAGTACAGCTACATTGTTTTTAACTTTGTCTTGGGAGCTTTTTTGTCCAAAGAAGCTTCTGTGAAGTTATAGGAGTGCTGTAGATTGTCGTTGCTCTCGAATGACACAATTTGTATAAGAATTTAAAACAATTTCAAATATTGTATGTCCTATGATTCTTAGAATCAAAAGGCATTTCTATGGGTACACTTATTTTTTGTAATTTGTTTGTATTTTTCTTTCAGCTAACTTTAATTCCTCTTCATTATTTGACTTGTCAAAGCATAAATCAAAATTCTTATTTTATCACAATAAAATAAGAATATATTTAAAAGTGAATGTTTAACATAAATATTTACCAAAAAAAAGAAAAAAAGATAAATATTTACATTAAACTTTTAACCATTGCTTGCTTTGTATTGCTTGCATTGTAAACTAAAGGAACTTTTTATATGTGTATGTTGATGGAATGAACATATCATCCGTGAAGAATTTTTTCAGTGTTATTGTACATGGTTTCCTTTTCTAATTTAAAATTCAGATCCTTAAAATTTTAAAATATCAAACAATACAGGGTGTTTTTCCACAGGACCTGATTATGCTTTGGGAATTATTTTTCAAAATCTGGTCAGTTCTACAGAATCAGTGCTCTCTGAAAAGCTATTTTAAAAATGAAAAACAAATTTTCCTTTTTTTCTTTTTTCTTTTTCCCAGGATAGGATCTTGCTAAGTAGTTCAGGCTGGCTTTGAACTCACAGCAATCCTCCTGCCTCAGCCTCCCAAATTCTGGGATTACAGGTGTGCACCACCACACCAGTCTTCATTTCTTTTTTAAGAGCCAAAAGAGCATAAGATTTAAGGAATTTTTCCAAGGCATAGCCGAGCAGCTTTCAGAAGCAGGCCTTTGAATTCTCAGTCCTGGGCTGAGTGGGCTGGTAAACCAAGGGGCTTGATCTAGATTGTGACTTGGCAGAGTGGCCAGAACCAGCATTTTATATCATGACTCAGTGGGCCTGTGTGTGTGTGTGTGTGTGTGTGTGTGTGTGTGTGTGTGTGTCTTATAAAACAAGTTTCAAATACAAGGTTTTTTTTTTCTTTTTAAAATACTGTTCTTGAGCCATGAAATTGATTTTATGACCCACTAATGGTCCACAACTTAGAGTTGGGAAAACTGTAAACTGAGTAAAATCCATGCCTACCACGAATGACTGAAAAGATTTTAACGCTTACTTACAAAATCCTGAAATCAGTTATAAAAAATGAATATCTGTAGTATATCTGTTGGGTATCATTTACATTTTAGAGTTGTTTTATTCATAAGTTGATTGTGTTAGTAGCGAAACTTCCTGTCTTCTAGATTCTGACTCAGTAAGTTGTATTCCAGCTGGATTTTTGAATTGTTAACAACAAATGTCCCCACTATTCAAATTTGGAAAACAGCATCTTAATTTTTTTTTTTTTTGGTACCGGGGATTGAACTCAGGTCCTTGTGCTTGCGCAGCAGGCAGTGAAACCACTGAGCTAAATCCCCGGCCCAGGATCTTAATTTTTAATGCATGAAAACAAGAGGATATATGTTACCTTTGTGAAAGGAGGCTCTTGGCAATGATTTTTGTTAGGAAATTTTGACGTAAAAGAATGGTTTCGATCAGGTTGTAATAGCTTCTTGAATTTGGTAGCAGAGCAAATTATAATCATGTTGAAAGTGAAAATAATAAGTCTTGTATGTACTTTAAGTTTCAGTAAAACTCCAAAGCTCTGTGAGAGTAAAATTAACAAAGGCTATTATGCTGTTTTTCTACTATTTTTGAAAAAAAAAACGTTTAGTGTAATTTGAGATACTTCTTTTACATCACCCTGTTTGATTTTCCTGCATGAATATATGGCCTAATAATATAACTATGATCCTCTGCATTTATATAAATATTTAAAAACCACTTAGTGTTACAAATAAGCACAAATAAAAATTGAAGGAAGGGCTTTCAAAGAAACTGTCAGATTCTGAGTGACACGCAGGAAGCAGGAAATGCAAGTGAAAGGGTCAGGATGGGCCTCACTGAGGAAAACAGAGGCATCTTACTGATAAACATAGGCCAGAACTATTCTGCTGGTCTGTGTGGGACCCAGTGCAGACCAGAGTGGGTAAAGGACTCTTCCAGACTGACAGGGGAGCAGTGGCGAACCAGTTTGAGTCTTTACACACCTCTGGTTCTGTTCCTACCCTACCACTTAGCTGTCAAAATTCACCTGATAGTGATAAACGAATGCTAGTGTAACATGAGTTACAATAGCGTGCCATACACTGCCTATACATACATAAAAGAAAATTGATCATCTTAAACAGCCTACAAAGGTTATATGTAACTTAGCTTGATTGTGGTAATCTTTTCACAATGTATATATGTCTCAGAGTATCACATTGTACTTCTTGAATACATACAATTCTTATTGTCAAGTATATCTCAATAAAGCTGAAAAATATTTAATGACTATTCCATGGGGTGTATGTATTATAGGAATGATACCAAATTTGAAATGTTCAGTGCTTAAACAGTCATTTTTATGCAGGACTTAATTTTCCCAGAGGAACTCAAGCGGTGGGGAAGGGGGCATTGTGACTGTGGAACACAAGGCAGGGGGAGGCTGGACTGGGAGACAGGAGTCTGGTGTGCTGGGGAGGAGGGAGAGAACCGAGGAAGGGACATGAGCAGGTGTGTGACATGTTTTTATCCACTTAACATGCTCGGGGCTATAGGTGTCTCAAATAAATAATCAAAACTATCACCGTTGGGGTGTTGACAAATCATTTTGCTTTGAAATCTGTTAAGACAGGTGGGTTTTTTTGTTGTTGTTTTGGTACTGGGGATCGAACTCTGGTCCTTGCGCTTGCGAGGTAGGCGGCAGAACCACTGAGCTAAATCCCTGGCCCTGTTCCCTACTTTGATTTCTGGAGTTTCTCCGTTTTCTCCTTAACATTCTGACAAGAATCCATTATTTGGTCATTTGTGGTTCCCCTCTGTTTTAAATGGTTATACTCAAAGGATATTTTATGTTTTAATAATTTACCCCTCCAAAGGCATATAAAAATATAAATGTTAAAAGGTTTTTAGACATTTTTTTGTCCAAAATAAGGCGTAAGAACCATATATTTTGATTCCTCAGGTTTAGTAGAAGGGATACTCCAGGGGAAATTTTATTTATAGATGTTATAAATCATGTAACTAATATGTGCATAATTTGGAACTTGTCTTTCAGAATTTAAGGAGGGGAAGAGGAAGGGACATAACACGTAGTGGATGTCTGCCTGTGCCAGGCACTGTGACAGACATTCTAACATGTATTGTAGGGGTTGTTGTGAGTATTAAATGAGATAATGTATCCCCGTTTTGCAGATGAGGAAACTGAACTTGACCCAAGTCACATGGCTGGTAAGTGGCGGAGCTGGACTAGAACCCAGACCCCAAACCCCATGCTTTTTCTGCTGTGCAGTACCATGTTTAAAGCTTGCCGAGAAAGGTATGAAGTCAATGACCAGACTTAACAGTTCTAGTTCTCTTTTCCCATGAAATATTTGTGTCCACCACCTCAGTTTGTTTTTTTTTTTGGTGTCAGTTCAATGATTAGAAGTACATGATGAGTAAACCCCTGAGCTTCTAAAATGCCTTGCTAGATGGATGTCAAGTGTATTCAAGGGAAACAGTGCCTTTAATAAAGCAAGGCCACCTTGAATGAACACCGAGTATCCTGTAGTGCTTCCCAGAGCTCTGGGATGTTCCCAGTGTACGCCGCAGTGCACACTCACACGCGCATTCACGCACACAGACACAATTGTGTGCCAAGTTCTATGAAAAGGTAGTGTTCCTCCTTGTCTCAAACTTTGGCTTGTCTGAGAATAAAATCAGTGTCTAAATATATTTTTCTCATTATCTCCAGTCATAATATTTCAGCCCCCACTGATGACCCACATATTTTCAGAAAATAAAATTGAAATTCTAGGTTAAGAAATAATTTGGATACGTCTGGTAGTTAGGGCAAGAATTGGCCTCTATAGGAAGGAAAATATGTCACCAGAGAATGTAGGATGGTTCTCTAAACTGTGATCTTGGTATCTAATCTGCTTTAAATTATTACTGAATTCATCATACTAGTATTAGAAACTGATGGTTATTAGAATAAACACCTTTTTCATAACTTGTTTCAAAAATAAAATGTTTTGACATTTAGATTTCCTCAAATCAAGTGATTCTCTTTGCCTACATCTTCCCAGTATACTTTATTAATAAGATTATATTTCAAAATATGGAATGAATCCATTGACCATTAGAAATGTACCGTCAGCTAGGTGTGCTGACAATGCCTGCAGTCCCACCTCTCTGGGAGGCTGAGGCAGGAGGATCACAAAATGGAGTCCCACCTGGGCAACTTAGTAAGACCCTGTCTCCAAAGAAAAAAATACAAAGGGAGTGAAGCTTAGTGCAAAGCCCCTGGGTTCAATCCCCAGCACCCCACACAAAGAAGTGTACCATCTCATAGAGTCTTGGGGCTATTACAGAAATTTATTCTAATTCCTACTAATTTACAGTAAGTCATATTTCTGGCTTAAACTAATGAGCTATAATTTTTGGTTTGTGTTAAAGAAGATAAAAATGAATATAGGATATCTGAAACATTTTAATAACACCTGGTTTATCTAACATCCCAGAACTAACATATCAGCTATATTATCTCCTTCCAGCTTATTTTAAAGTGATGTTTTTTTCTGAGCTGTTGCTCAAAATGTTTTATGAATGCTTCATTTGGAATTGCCGTTGTCTTTCATGCTGCCGAGTTTGGTCTTCAAGGGTGACAGTGGCTTTTGGAAACAGGCAGAAGTTGTTGGGAGCCATTTCTGGTGTCCGTTTTCCTCTGTAAAGGATGCTGGAGTCCCCTTCCCCTTACTGCATATTCCTAAAATAGCTCTTGTGCATCATGCTTACTGCTTTCCTGTCATATGGTAGCAAACATCAGTGTCTTCAAAACGAGAGTAAGGGAGCCCTCTGTGCCCGTCTAGCCGGGGCCTGGCTCTGTGAGTAGTGTTTAGAAAGATTAGCCCAGGAACGGGCTGCATTCAGGCTGCCTGCCAATGTCAAGATGCTGACGTGGAAACTTCTCATTCGTCACTCGCCATTGTTCTGATTTTAGAAAGTCTGTGCAGCCTCCAGCTGTGGCATTGTTTCAGCCTTTATTATCCCATAACCTTCTTCCTTGGAGGTGGGTAGGGACTAAAACAGGGAGAGCTAAGCTATTCCATCTTCCATTCTATCTCCTCTGACAGTATATCAAGACATTTAGAAAGCTTTAGTTTATAACCGGTTTTCTTAAATATTCCAAAGCTATAAAGTTTTCTTAAACATATAGTGTGACATATGTATACAGTGTTTTGAATAGTCACAAAAACAAAAACAACAAATTTAGGCCTGGCATGGTGGCACACGCCTGTGATCCCAGCACTCTGGGAGGCTGAGGCAGGAGAGTTATGAGTTCAAAGCCAGCCTTGAACTGGCTTTCTCAAAAAGCTAAACAACAATAACAAGTTGGCTACTTTCAGTGATAATGTACAGCTGAAGTAAAAAGTCTTGTCTCCTATTTCTGTTCTGTTGTTTTTTTTGGTACCGGGGATTGAACTCGGGACCTTGTGCTTGTGAGGCAGGCGGCGGCACCACTGAGCCAAATGCCCGGCCCTCAATGGATATAATAGTTTTAAAAACATGACGGTATTGTGTTTTCTTGATTGGCATCTGATTCAGACCAATTTTCATAGAATTTAAATTTTATAGAATTTAAACCATTTTCTTGCATGTAGCTTTGAAGAGAGTCTATATTTTACAGTATTTCATCAGAATATCAAACCTAGCTGGACCACACATTCTCAAAGTTGAAAAGCATTAGAAATAGAAACATTCAAAAGCATCTAGGAAGCAATGTTCACTGCAGTGGATAGACAAATTCTGAATGCAAAATAGGGAATTATGAATTTACTTTTAGTATTCAACCTGAATATTAAGTAAGTATTAAATCTGTCTCTTAAGTGTATGATTATACTATATTTAGAAAATAGTTTTTAAAAAATGAATACTAAGGCCAGGAGCCAACTTAGACCTTTCCTCCTTAAAAAAATAAAAGATAACAAGAAATGTATTATTTTCCCAAAAGAAAGACAAAAATGATCTTTCTCCAGAAAAGCCAGTTTTATAAAGAGCTTTGCTGGGATTTTTGTTATCACTGTGCCTTTTAACTGAAACCACGGAAGCTAGATTTCTCCCCTTGCCTGACCATTTTCTGGTAGCAAGACTTGGAGCCTGAGACCTCCCGCCACTGTTTCAGGCCATAGCACGGAGGCAGCTGTTCAGTGAGACCTTTGCAGGGGTGCTCCAGAGCTGACTCTCATTAGCTTGCTAGAGTCGGTGGCTAAACTTTCACCCTTTTTGTGAGCCACTATTAAAAACTAAATATCTCGCAAGCGCAAGGACCCGAGTTCGATCCCTGGTAGCAAAAAAAAAAAAAACCTAAATATGTATGTAGATTCATATATACACAGATATACTCACACACATTTAAATAAATTACTCAAAACCCATCCTTGCTAATGATTTTATCTATGCTCTTGAAGTTACTCTCATCTCCGCTGTCTGTCTGGTGTATGGCTTGCTTGCCTTTCTCTTTCCAACTCTTCTGCAGAGAAGTCACTCGGGCATCCTGAAACTGGCCATTGTAGAAGTATTTCTACTGTGGGAATCATCAAACAGATCAGGGTCCCCCCACCCCACCCCAGAGCTGTTTCTTAAACATTTGTCAGCGCACTGCTGATTTTAGGCTGAATGGAGTATAGCTTACAAGCCTGTCTTCTTTAGCCTCTGATAAAAACTTGTCCAAAATGCATTGAGACAGTTTTCTACCTTAAGTGTGGAGAGCGTACTGACGTGGTCATATTGTTCCGAATGCCACAGAACCTTTGATATTTAAGATTCCTATCATGCTCAGAGTAATCATCTTCCACAATACAAGGTCACCTCTACTGGCATGTAAAAAGTATGTTACTTCCAGGGTAATTTAGGTGAAATCTCAAGTCAGGAGCCGTGTGTGTAAGCTTGCATTTTGTGTCATTGCAGTGGCCACAGGTGACATGCCAGCTTACCAGATCAGGGCTCCTGCTACTGCTTTGCCCCAGGGCGTGGTGATGGCTGCCTCACCGGGAAGCTTGCACGGTCCCCAGCAACTGGCAGAAGAAGCCACTCGAAAACGAGAGCTGAGGCTGATGAAAAACAGGTGCGGTGTTCACTAGCACTCAGGAACCGCTTCGTAGGGCACATGGTTTCTTAGTGTGGGGCTTTGAAAGATGTGTACTTTTCCCAAGCTCTTTCTCCTAAGTTAAGTGTTAATGTGGCGTTGTGTGTGAGTTTGCGTGCTGTGTGCATGTGAAGGTGATCAGGGCTCTTCAGGGATCATCTGGGCCATGGAACAGTCCATCAGCAGGGGTGCAGCACCCCCGCCCCAAGTTCAGAAGATACATTCTTTTTTTGTTTTTGTTTTTTTGGTACCGGGGATTGAACTCGGATTCCTTGCGCTTGCACAGTAGGCAGCGAAACCACTGAGCTAAATCCCCGGCCCAGATACATTCCTTTTTTGAAACAATGATGCAAAAACTTTGTTACCAATGAAGATTAATTTTGCATATGGTATTTACTTTGTGAAGTACTATCATGATAAGTATAATTTTTTAGTTTTATTAGCAAAAGAAATTTAAGTGTTAGAGCATTTCTTTTTTTGTTTGTGTCACTATTACAACGAAATACATATTATCCTAAGAAAATTCAGTTCAAGATGCGATAGCAAAATAACAAAAGGGGGGGCTCCTCTGCTTAGAGATACCTGCTAATATCACGTTATATGCCTCATATTATATTTTATATATGCCTTCAGTCTGCTTGCTCTCATTTTTTCTCACTTAGTCTTTCCCCATCTCTCTGTAATTTTGATTAATTAATTTTGAAATGAGGGTCATGCTGTGTTGCCCAGACTAGGCCCAAACTCGTGATCCTCCTGTCTCACCCTCCTGAGTAGCTGAAATCATAGACGTGCACCACTGTGCCCAGCTGTAATTTTAGGTTTTGACCATCAGTGTATCATAAAGTGCTATTTTCAAAAGAAGTTTTTAACTTAAATCTTTATTTTATTCAATCCATGTGTTGTTTTTCTGGGTTCTTATGGAGGACTATATGAATGAATTTGATTTGCAGAGTGAACAGAATTGTCTGAGAGTTTCCTGGTAGTCTTGTCACCTACTCCTAAGTTGTAAACAGTGTCCTCCTTGTAAGAAAACAAACATTTCAGGTGGGATCATCTGCTTGCCTGTGATGAGGACCACTTGGTGGTCATTAATTATGAGCCAACCCAGGTAGTCTAGAAATTCCGGCCTCCAAGCCCCTGATAATCAGGTCTGAGTTCATTGCTGTCCTTCGTAACTGAGCATGGACCAGAGGTAGCTATATTAAGCTTATCGGTCACCATGTAAGTGACACAGTTTGATACAAGAATCCCTACATTGACTATTGTTCTCAAACTTACTAGTTTCGGTGTGTGTTAGATGGCATTCTGAATGCTGGAAAACTCAACAAATAACCAGAAATAGGACTAGAAAGACACACACATCATCAGGGCTGGGCCCAGGTGTGCTGGGCTCATACTCTTTTATCTGTTCTGTTCACAAATCCCCAAGGCTGGATCCATGGGGCTCACACAATGTGGTAGTTTTTTATGGCAGTCTTTGATGCTCACTTGGATCTGATAGAGGACTATTGATACTTTAAGATGGTACTTTCTGGGCCGAGGGTATAGCTTAGTGGCAAGGTGCTTGCCTCCCGTGCACAAGGCCTTGGTGCCGGTCCTCTGCACAGATGGAGGTCAGATAGATGGATAGATAGGCAGGTGAGATTCCAAGAGCTATGAATATAACTGCCTCTCTGGTATTGTGTATATTAGGAAGTTCAGTTTAGAAATATAAAGCCTGCCAATAATGCCAACTGTAAAATTTTTCATTAGTGTCATATTTTACCTAAAGAAAATAAAAAAAGGAAGTAGTCTTAGTTCCACTTTCCCCATTATTCTCTCCCCTAATTTTTAATTTCACAATTCTTAGAGTAACAATATCAGTGTAAATTTGATGTAACATTAGGCAATTTATTCCTATAAACATGCCACACAGCCATGTAGACATACATAAGAGTTCCCTACGGGGAAAAATTTAGTATTTACAAATATCATATGAATAATGACTACTAACATTTGTGTGTGGGCTAATGAAGGAAATGGAGGCTTCCATTTGCAGATAGTTTTTGCTCTTCCCTATCAGCACAGAGGTATAGTATGTGTCTGGGACCCAGGGTTGGGCCCAGGCTGTCCTCCCTGTGGTGTCTTCCTCAGCATGGACCATTTGTCCTTCTGCTCACGCCCGGCTGCTGTCCCTCCAGGCATTGCATCAGTCAGGAAGAAGGGAGAAAGGGAAGAGCCAAAATTTGTGGCTGGCTGGATCTGCCTCTTTTGGAAACCCTTCCTAGAACCCCCCCTGCCCAATAATTTAACCCACCTTTCGTTGACAGCACAGGATTTCGAGAAGGGTCTACTTTAGCTTTCCAAATCTTATTCTCACAGCCGCACAAGAGAAACACAGTTTAGCAAATTTATTTCTGCTGTTCCTTTAGTTCACATAACTTTCTGATGAGAATAGTTCTGGGTATTGTCCCTACTTTATAGAGGAGGAGCTGATGTCGAGTGGTTAAACTGTAAGTTGGCCAAGGCCATGCAGCCCAAACTGGACAGAATCAGGCTATGCAATCAGACAGGTCTTCATGCCTGGTCGGTCCACTACCCTAACACCAGAGTCGCCACTGAAGGACCTCGTCGTAAGCTTCAGATGTGACTTCAGAGAAATGCGTGTGATTAGGTTTTGTAATTAACATGGAAGATCTCATATATTCTCTGTTTATTCTTTGGCTAGCATCTATGGTAAACATTTAGTTATATTTCTACCAAGACAACAGCAGTTTTATTTCTTACAACCTTATCAGCTTTTCCTCTTGGCCAGTAGCCCCTTGTCCTCATGGAGCATAGATGCAGTCAAGTGCACCGCCTGGAAACTGAGCTGTTAATAGAAGAGACAGGTGCTTTCCACAGTTGAGAATGACCGTCCCCTGGGGCCACCACTTACAGCTTTGTGCTGGGAGCATTTTGACTCTTAATAACATGTCTGCCCCCAAATGTAAAATAGGAAGCATGGAAATTTACAATAAGCAGCTTAGTGAACAAAACTTTAAAATTAAATCCCATAATACTATGGTTAGATATTTAAAATTTCACTCAACAGTCATTTGTTTTGTAGAACAACTGCCTTCTTCTTAGGTCTAGAGTTTAATGATTTAATCATGAAAACTTCGGTATTTGTAACTGAATTTTAGTTTGTGGAAGAGAGTTGAGTTATATTCCCAAACTGGAAAATTTGTGTGTTTAGATTCATTCTTAACTTTTCTCTGTGCATCATGTAGATTAATCACTATTCTATTAGGTTCAATTCACTTTTACATTTTTTATTTTTTGTTACCCAGTTGAGAAGTCCAGAACTTTGTGAGTTCACAGGGTGAGTGCATTGTTCTTGGCTAGGAAGTAGGGGTTGTTCCTTTCCTGCTCATTGGGGTTTCTTTTTTGCTGACTTCTGCTTCCCATAGAGAAAACAGATACCCAGTGAGTAAGAGTCAACTGTCCTAAAACTAGAACAATTGGCCAAATCTTGTGCATGGTAAATGTGGTTCAGGAACCCAACAATATTAACTGGCATTAGAGTAACGGGCATTCAGAAATGCAACATTACTTTCATTAAAATATACCTAACTAATAATACCTGGCCATTATTCTGGAACTGCATACTCCAAAATAAAGCTGTTATCAGAGGGTATGTAAGTAGAATAGTTGCTCTGCCCTCCCACCTTTAAAAAAAAAGTAGAAAGAGAAATGCTAGCTGTATTGTTGTTTAGTAGAATAGAGCATGAAAATGACTAAGTCATCTGTTTGTATTTGTCGCTCTGGCTGCTGGTCTGTTCTTTCCTTGACATGTTTACGGCGCTTTAAAACTCACTGTGCTGCATAGTAAACGCATGTGATTAGTGAATAGTCTTGAAATGCACTTTTGAGTTATTCAGTAGCCTCCTCCTTCACGATTTTAATTGTGGCATTCTTGCATTTGTGGCTTTAAATTGTCTGAATTATTAAGTGTTGTATTATGTAACTCCGGCTTTAATTTTCAGAAGCAGTGTCCATTTTATTTTGGTTTATAAAAAGTACATTGTGTTTATCGTTATAATTTATCCATGTTGTGTTTTCTAGCCCCCCAAACCTATTTCTTACCATCACGATTGACCTTGTTTTGCTGAGATTTAGTCTTGAAGAATAAAAATCTTCAAAATTGACATTTTAAGGTTTCTGAGGATTAGTTCTTATAATCATTCTGGCCTAAAAAATTGACTCGTGGCGATGAAACATACGAGGCTTTTGGTGAACAAAAGCGAATTAGGACTGGAAGGACCTAGAGGTATCTTAGTGGAAACCCCACTTGAGAATGTGGCCCCGGTGCTCCAGCTCCCAGGCCCAGCTCTGGTCCTTACCTCACCAGTGTGCGCCTGAAGAAAACACCATTTGGGCAAATTGGTTGTGCTCCCACGTTGCTCCGTTGCGGTACAGAAACGCACGTGCTCGGTTCCCTTTGTTGCGTGGCTTTGTACGACCCTTCCCTAGGTTTGGCTGGCTGCGGGTTTGGAAGCAGGGACGGCTGAGCCACAGCGGCTGTGCGGGGAGGCTGGCCCTGTAGTCATCTGCCTGTGTTGCTTCCAGGGAAGCTGCTCGGGAATGTCGCAGGAAGAAGAAAGAATATGTCAAATGTCTTGAAAACCGTGTGGCCGTGCTTGAAAACCAAAACAAGACTCTCATTGAGGAACTCAAGGCCCTCAAAGATCTTTATTGCCATAAAGCAGAGTAACTGGCTTGGCCTTGGACCTTGTTTACTCTGAACCCTAATCAAGGCAGGCGATGCTGTAGTTCTAACTGCCGTTTGGACTTGCGGAAGGGACACTTGGGACCTTGACTAAGAATCCAGTTTGGTTTAGCCTTTGAGATTGAATTGGGAATAGTGTTCCAAGATTTGGCATGCAATCTAGGCACTTATACCATGCTTACTTCAGTCTGTTTGTCGGTAGTGCGCACAACATGTTCTGTCTGCCCTTTTGCTTCTGCTTTTTCTAGGGAAGCTGCTAAAGAATGTCGACGTCGAAAAAAAGAATATGTAAAATGTCTGGAGAGTCGAGTTGCAATCCTGGAAGTTCAGAACAAGAAGCTTATAGAGGAACTTGAAACCTTGAAAGACATTTACTCTCCCAAAACAGATTAGTACAAATATTTAACTATGAACTGATTGCAACATGTACAGTTGCTTTGCAAGCAATACAGTTTATAGCTGGCAAGAATGATGGCTTTTTTTCTTTTATATCACTCACCTGACTTTCTAATCTCTAACATTCCTGAAATGCCTCACTGGTACATACTCAACTCTTAGCTATAACTTCAACTTTATAAAAGGAGACAAACTGAAAAAAAAAATGTATGTAACAAATTCTTAAAATGAAATATTTATAAAACTTGTTCCAGTACTACATATTTGCACTTCCCAGTCTCTGTCATGGATAGTGTCCTATGCAATAAAACTTTTTCAGGTCTTTAATCATTTTAGGAAGGGAAGATCAAAGTTAATGCATCCAGCAGTAAAATAAAATTAAACCACACTAGAAAAAGACTTCAGGAGGGCCGGGGATTTAGCTCAGTGGTTCCGGCGCCTGCCTCGAAAGCGCAAGGTCCCGAGTTCGATCCCCGGTACCAAAAAAAAAAAAAAAAAAAAAAGACCTCAGGAAAGAATAGAGAAAGGATATCTCCATGCCTCCATGAGAATAGCATGGAAGTGAATTTTGGCATTTGCAGATTTTTATATTAGTCACTTGTAAAGCAAATCCAGTACTGTATTGCTGTTCTTGAACACCATAGTCAAAGACAGTTTTTAATAGAACCATGTTAGTTGCACTTTGTAGTATGTGGTGCTTATTTAAATATCAGAATATTTATTGTAGTTTTTTATTCTGTCCTGTAATATAAACAATCTTGCAGAAGTTCTTAGTATTGGTTTGATATTCCCTAATGAAAATGACAATATATTTTAAAATCCAGAATGAGTTAAACGCCTATTAGAATGACAGTGCATACCTTCAGGGTCCAGGCTGGTGTCCACAGTGGGTTAGGGTCCTTCCAGATGCTGCCTGTCCCTCAGCAGGACAACTCAGGGCAGGGGACCGCTTGGTGGCAGAGCACTTGCCAAGCAAGCGCAGGGCCCTGGGTTTCACTCCAAGCCCCACATGACGATGATGATGGTGACGAAAATGATGAAGGCTGCCCCAGAGCTTCGCATGTAGAGGAACACAGCAGTGAGCAGAGGCCAACGTTTGTGACAGGCATGGCCTTCCTGCAGGTGACCTGGAATCCACAGCCGGTGGCCATCTAGTTTGAGTTCCAGCCAACCACCATAGGAATCAAAGTAAAACTTAAAAACAATCCAAGATTTTATTTTGTAGTTCAAAACAGCCTGAAGTCCACCTTAGCTTGATATGGTTATGTCAGCACGTCTGTGAGGACAGCAGGCTGTTCCCCGGCTCCACAGTTCCTGTCTTTAGAGTAGAAAGCTTCGCAGTGAGTCAGAGCCCTGAGCGCACGATGGACACGGTGTCACCTTGCTCACTGACATCTACCCAGTGTGGGCTGTGTGCCAGACCCTGCCTCCCTTCTGGTTGGCTACAGTGCCCCCTCCCTAGTGTCAGTAGTGGAGCTGGCACTGGGTCCAGGGGAAGCACAGAAACAGAAGTTGTTCGTGTGGTGTCCAACTGCTGCTCCCCTGTCTCACCATAACCCTTCCCTGTGTGTAATTTCTGGAAGGTAGGCCATGTTATTTCTGGCTTTCTTTGAAAGTACTTCCTGCAGAGCCTGAGCTTTAAATTTCTTTTATCTTAATTTTGGCATTTTCTTCTACAGAGAAGTAAGATGAGGCAAGAAGACGTGGAAGAAAAACAAAGCAAACAAAAACAAACCGAAAGGAAAGCCCCAGGTGAAGGAGAACAGGGCTTCTCAGTGTGGCGGCACCATAAATAGTTGAGGGGTGGACAGGAAGAGGGAGACGTGAGGATCAGCAGACAAGATGTAAAACGCAAGAGGCAGTGAATGTGGGAATCAGAGAGAGACGTAGGCAGGGATGAAATAAAAACCTGGAGTTGGAGGCTGATTTGGAAGTGGGCCCTGGAGGGCGGATGGTGACGTCCTGGAAGAGAGCGTCCAGGCAGGGATGCAGGGATGCAGGGATGCAGGGATGCAGCCCCTGGGACCCTGAGGGAGGTGGAGTCTCACTTAGAGAGAGAGACAGCCTTTACGTCCCCTGCCAAAAAGGGTGGGGATTTATCTAATCCTTCGGGCCCCCGGTGAACAGAAGTACCCCTTCCCGACCCAGAAGTTTAATAGAGAAGGAAATGTGTTTACCGCACAAAGAAATCCAGAGGTCAGAGGCCCCAGGGTTCCTCAATTCAGTGACTTAACAACAGCACCACAACAGGAGTCTTCCTACCCACTCTGCTCTATCTGTTCGTTGGCCTCCGATCCAGAGTAACCCCTTCCCTTTTTTGATTGTTTTAGAGCAAGGAAAGCTGGCCTGGAAGCTCCTCAGCAGCACATTCCCTCTGAGTCTCCCAGTTAGATTTTCATGATAACTTTGTTTTTTAACCGATCACTGACAAGGAGGGTGGAATTAAAAGGAATTAAAAGTGAATATTCAACCCCCCGGGCCGCTGGAGGTTCCAGCTTTGGGGGAAGCATGTGGTCATCTGTGTTAAATAATAAAAGCAGGGTTCAAGAAGATGACGTGGAGGGTGACTGACAGTGTCCACCCAAGGAGGCGAGTGAGGAAGTTGGAAAGCTCGGGGAGTGGTGGCACTTGGTCCAGCCAAGCTCCTACAGACGTGCCGGACTCATGCTTGGTCATCTGACTTGTTCCTGAAACAAAACCCTCTCTGCCCAGACAGTGTGATCCGTGACTCGATGGCTCTCCATCTAGCTTTACAGCAGGGACTGCTGTCAGCCCCTCATGGAACAGAGCGGGCAGCAAGTGGGAAGCTGTCCGTGAATACCGTCACCCTGTATCTCAGGCTGCACAGATTCCAGAGCTGGCACTGCATTTGCCTGTGTCTCTAATCCTGAAAGTGTCTGAGCCTAGACTGTGAGATACAGAAGTTCCTGGTCCTGCCTGGGATCACAGCAGTTGTTTTCACATTTAACTAGATGCTTCACAACAGCGTGGCGCACAATGGGAGAATGCAGGAAGTGCATCCTCACTGCTTTCTAAATGCATCCCAGCGCTCTGCTCCCCCAGACCGAGAACACGGAGCCGCAACAGCACTCTTGGGTGGATGGCAGCTGTCTGAGTCTCCCTCGTACACTCTTGTGTTATCTCTGATGGCCTGAAAGTGTATCTTTTGAAGACACGGTGGCTTGTGATGCCAACATGCTTTTGCTAGTATACACCGCAAATAATTCACCAGGTTGACACGTGTGAGGCAGCAGAGCTGGTGCCGGCTAGCCAGCCAAAATGCAACGACCTTTAAGAAACGCAAATGTGCTCCCTTTTTTCTAAGGTTGCCCTGAAAGACATGGACAGAGGTGATTCCGAATGACGAGCACAGCGTATTTTAATCTTCCTGTTTCATGAGTAACTTTTTTCTGTATAGCCCAATTTCTTCTACATGCATTTCACATTTATACACCGTAGATTTAAATTTTTATTTGTGTGATGCCAAGGGTTGAACCCAGGGTCTCCCACATGCTGGACAAGTGCCCCATCACTGAGTTATACTCTCAGCCCCACGTCCAGAGCATTTTTATGACAGTGTTGTTTATTCAGAGATCAGTTTGGCCATGAAGTACTATGTGGTAGTTGCTTGTAATGAGATTTTTTTCAGGGCCATGCTTTTCACACACACTCAGTTCTATCAGGGACAGAAAATGATAAAAGAGAAAGCTAACCTTGTGCTTTGTTATACTGGACTGTACTTGCTAAAAAAAAAAAAAGAGTCTTTGTTATTTCTAAGTCAATCTTAATTTTCAAGAAGAGGCTGAGTATTTTTCCAGGTTTTTTCCTTTATTAAAAGATATTTTTCCAGTGGTCCCCTCTCACCCTGTAGAGTTTACTGCTTTTCCTACTTTTAATTGGCCCTCACTCACTCTGTAGAGCATGTTCTTTTCCTATCTTTAATAAATGAAAAACCTCACTACCTTCTCTTTAAAAAGGACATTCTAAAAAACCACAATGAAAGGTTTAGTACCATGGGTTAGTGGCCTCTGCGCAGGACACACACCCACACATCTGTGTGCACTTTCTTTTCCTCCCCTCCCCCCAATTGCTGGGTGACAATGGGTCAGCAAGGTGAGGGGCAGGACTCAGGTGAAACCCTGCTCCAGATCTTCCATAGGAGTCCCTTGGTTCCTTTGTACAGAGCCAGTCAAACCCTGAGGAATCCAAGCCTGAAAGATCCCTTCTCCCTCTGTTGCTGTTTTCAGGTAGTTTCTGCTCCCATCCACTCCCTCAGCAGCCATGCAGCTTCCTGTTGACTTCACAGTACCTTCCTGGCTTTCCTCAGCTGTGTTTGAGTTGTAGGATGCTGTAGCCATACCATCTGTAACCCAAACCCCCAGTGGAGGAGAAACAGTCCATGGCATGGCAGGCAGGAACCTATGAACCTTCCTTCTTTCCCTTTTTATTTCATACAGGCTACAAGCCTACTGGTTGGTGCCACCCAGGCCTTCCCTCTTCAGTAAGTTCATCATGCTCACTCAGAACTATCAGTGGACTGATCCAGTAACACACACCCATGATCCAGTCACTCCCAAAACCCCACCTGTAAGCACATGAATCTTTGGGATAGACATCTAGATATAAGCCATAACAGTGGCTCATGCCTGTAATCCCAGCACTCTGGGAGGTTGAGGCAGGAGGACCATAAGTTCAAACCCAACCTGAGCAACTTGTGACTTAGCAAGACCCTATCTCTAAATAAAAAGAAGGGGTGGGGAGAAAAGAAGGTCTTTGCAAAGGCTGTGGAATCAATCTCCAGCACTGCAAAAAAAACCAAAACAGTGCGAAGAAGTCTTACAGGCATAATTTACTCCTCTAATGTTATAGACAAGGAAACCAAGTTTCAGACTGACTTAAATATTGACAGCTATGAAGATGATGGAGAAACTAGAAGTACTCAGATCTCTTAACTACGGTAGTAATCTTTGTATTACTGTAATGCCTCTCTTTTTCTATGGACTGGATTTTCAACCAGCTTTGGTGAAGCATAGCTTTCTGAGAAAATGTTTATCCTGTGGTCTGAATAGATGGCTGTCCTGGAAGGAAAACTCTGTCATTTGGTACACAAAACTCCAGCTGGTCTCTCAATCGGAGGACACAAGAACTCTGCCGGATCCATCACAGCCACACTACGAAGGATGCTTGGCATATGGTACAATAGTTTTCTAGGACACACACCTTGTAACAAAGTTTATGGTAGGTCTTGCCTTTAGTGGTCCGTGAGCACTGCAGAGGAGACATCGAAGACGGTCGTCAGGCTTGATTTAGAATGGATATTTTAATTCTTATCTTTTGAAACACAGTAACTGCTGATAGACTTTGAAGGGTCAGTGACCCAGTAGGCCCTAGTATTTTTGGCCTCAGGGACTGGTTTTGTGGAAGACAAGTTTTTCTGCAGGTGGGGATGGATTTTTATTGGCATATGTTTGTGATACATACTATTGCACTCCCCAGTGCTAGCATCACTACCTCAGCTCCGCCTCAGGTCAGCAAGCATGAGATTCTCATAAGGAGCCCACATCCCCTGTCCTGCAAACTTGCAGTTCACAGAAGGGTTCAAGCTCCTGGGAGGATCCAGTGCCTCTGGTGATCTGGCCAGATACAGAGCTTGGGTGGTGATTTCAGCTACCGGGAGCAGCTGTAAACACAGAGGAAGCCCCACGGCTTACCCACCCCTCACCTCCTGTTGTGCTGCCTGCTTCCTGACAGGCGGCCTCCCCAGTGACCCATAGCAAGAGACTCAATAAAAACAGCAGAGGGTAGCACTAGTGTGTCCACGTGTTTATTGTCTCACATTCCACATATCTAGAACTTTGCTTTAGGAGGTCTGGGTGTTTGTATTTGTAACACATTTCATGCATATTTCTGAAGCACTGTAATGTTAGTGGACATGAACTGTATGACCCAGGGCAGGGCTTTTCCTGGTTTTGCCCTAAGCCACAAAGACTCCTAAATGGTTGCACCCATCCAGGACTTGGTGAGCACCTAGGCCTGCACTTAACATCAGAGCTACTGCTTCCCTGTGTGTTGCTTCTGTCACCCCTTGTCTTCCTGGAATCATTTGTTCATGAACACTGCAAAACTGACAGATGGCTTTTCTGCTCTGCCATGGACTCTCCAAGTGTACACCAGAACCCCAGGGAGTAAGAACAGTCTTCCCTGGTCTAGTCAATGAATTACATTCGTAGTAACCCCAGAGAGTCTTAGATAAAGTGGAATGGGGAAGAGAATAATTGGACAAGGTTTTTAGAAGGGGGTTGGTTTTTTGAGACAGGCTCTCACTATATAGTCAGGCTGGGCTTGAACTCATTATGTAGCCCAGGCTGGCTTCAAAGTCACAGAGATCCTCCTGCCTCAGCCACCCAAGCTCTGAGACTACAGGTGTGCAAGCTCATGCCCAGCTATCTGACAAAATTTGACAAGAAAGTACAACCTTGGCTACTCATGTCTGCCTCACTGGACATGGGGCGGAGGCTCATGTGAGGTTGGTGACAAGCTGATCCCCCGTGGAGGTGCATGCCTGTAATCACAGCACTTGGGAGGCTGAGGCAGGAGGATCACCATGAGTTGGAGGCCAGCCTGGGCTACATAGTGAGTTCAAGGGCTGCCTGAAATACATACCAAGACCCTTTCTAAAAAAAAAAAAAAAAAAAAAAAGTGGGCTGGGGATTTAGCTCAGTGGTTCCACCGCCTGCCTCAAAAATGCAAGGTCCTGAGTTTGATCCCCGGTACCAAAAAAAGTGTTAAATGCATACTACCCTGTTGTAGTCTAAGGGTTCAGTTACTTGATTATAATTAATATTTGTACTTTTTTATGTGCTTATATTTTGCCTTTCACATTATTCTCCTTTAAAGATATCCTAAGAAATTTGAGGCGACTATTTCAAGAATATATAACTGGACAGTTAAAATTAAGATTTCACAAAAAAGGGGCCAGGGATTTAGCTCAGTGGTTTCACCGCCTGCTGAGGAAGCTCAAGGACCTGAGTTTGATCCCTGGTACCAAAAAAAAAAAAAAAAGAAAAAGATTTCACAAAAAAGATACAAGTCATTTATAGAAAGGACAAAAATAGCCTAAAAATCTGGAATTAAATTGGATTGTATTTGGCTATTGACATCTGATAGCAGGTATTATCTAACAAATGGATTATTCCTTATTCTGAAAAAAGAAAGCTTTTTTAAAACAAAAAATCTGCAAGAAATTATCCTGTAGTTCTAAAATACAAGCTACCTGTCCTAGTAAACAAACAAAATACTCAAATGTTGAATCAACAAGAAATGGAGAGATATGAAATTTCCCCACCAGAATACTTGCCATGAAGACTTGGGTGGATTAAATTGTAAAACTAAAATAATAAATGCACCTAATGTATAATAAAAATCACCTTAAGAAAACAAAGCAAATTGCAGGTTTAACTTACTGATATAACTAGTAATTTTAAAGTGTTTCTAGAGACTACCAGTCTGGTTAAGTGAGATAATACACGTGGAAGTACTAGCATAGCACCTGGAATGTGGTGCCTCAGTAAATCTTAGCTACTATTATTTCAATAATAATAAGAATTTTCAAGATAGAAATCTAGTCTCTCACTGTGTCCTTCTGCTTCATATTTCCACTGGCTGGTGTAGCTAAAATAACTTCAAGATTAATTTTAGAATAGATAATGAGATTCCTTTGAAAGAATGCCTAGGGAAGTGGGACTCCTGCTGTCCTCTCTCAGTAAGTAGTGAAGCTCACTTCTGGGTGGGTTGTGGAGGCGTGGCCTTGGCATCTAGGTCTGGTCCCTTGCCCCTTTCTCTCTGGCACTGTTCCCCTGGCTTCCCGGCAGCTGTGAGCCCATCTTTGCTCTGCCATGCCCTTCCCTTCTACCATGCCCCTCCTTTCCGCCATAATATGTCTGCCTGGAGCCAGTGATTATGGACTGAAACCATGAGCCAAATTAAACCTCTCCTTTAAATCATGTCTATAGGATGTTGTGTTCTGATGACAAGAAAGCTAAGTAATACAGAAATTGAACCTAAAACCTCAATGAGCTACATCCCCAGCCCTTTTAAATTTTTTAAATTTTGAGACAGGGTCACCTCACTAAGTTGCTAAGTTGTCCAGGCTGGGCTTAAACTTGCAATCCTCCTGCCTCAACCTCCCAGAGTACTGGGATTACTGGTATGCACCACCACTCCCATCTTGGCCTTCACTTTACACTACCATTTCCAGTAAAATTTTAGTCAAATAGTAGCAATCTAGAGGAGATTCCCTGTCTGGGAATGGTAACACACACATAATCCCCAGCACTCAGGGAGGCTGAGGCTGAAGCTGAAGCAAGAAGATTGCAAGTTCAAGCTCAGTATGGTCAATTTAGCGACTCTGTCTCAAAAATTAAAAAAGGTTGAGATGTAGCTCAGCGCACAAGCTCTCATCTCAATACTCAGTAACAACAGGGCAGGGAGGTAGCTCAGTGGCGCCATGCCTTCCTGGCAAGCCCAAGGTCCTGAATTTGATCCCCTCCCCCCTCCCAAAAGAAAAGAAAAAGCAAAACAAAACAATTTAATACTCAGTACCAAAAAAATAAAAGTGAAAACTTAACACAGATAGGCCTACATGTCTGCAAAATTCACTTAAGATGGCGACTTCCACCTGTTCCAGGCTGCCAGAATGGGTGGTGGACAACTCTAATCTACACTAAGCCACCAAATGGCTAATGCAGTGACAACACGTGGAACTCCTGTCCTGTAGCCTCCTCAGAATGGCGGTGCCCTGGGAAGGTACAAGATACTGCAAGCATGCAGAGAAAGTCACGTCTCCTCTTTGGTTCTCATCAGGAGACACAGGCAAGGGAGGTTTCACATCCAACACAGCGTATCTAAAGCAGGATGGGTGACACAGGCTGCTCCGGTCCTGGGACTGCACCCCGGGGAAAGCATGGATGCTGCACCTTCTTCTGTCTGGTCGACAACTTGCTGCTCTCTGTGTCTCGGGTCTGAGCTGTGGGTCTTAGGGAGGCCTTTTCCCAGGCCCAGGCAGTCGGAGTTTCTCTCCGACCATTTTCTCTGCACTCGGGACATTTCTCGAGTGCCTTTAAACATAATTCATAATTCATTTCTAAGGGGAAACCTAACACTTCTATTTTTTAGCAGTTGTTCACAAAGCACACTGTTATTTGTGTGTTGGTTTGAACAGGATACTTAAGGCGCCTCCCTTCCTGCGTGGCAGCCTCTTAAGTCTTGTCCAGATTGGGAAAACGAATGTTGTTGCATGAATGATCATAATGTTTCCTTTGAACTGAATTTGGCCTTGTCAGCTTCTCTTTAAACAAAACAGTACACTGAGGGCACTAGGAAGGGATCTGAGTGCGTTTCCGGCCACCAGAGTCTTAACACAGTGGTTTGGGACAAGCTGCAGGTGTCTTTACCTAGTATTCCTTGGCCCCTCAAATGCTGTTTTTTCAGGGTCATAGATATCATATTCTGTATTGGGAATCTTTTCCTTTTTTATACATTTTTTTTGACTTGTTAAGCAGTCCACTATTGACTGTTAAATCTGTTCCCTCAGCCAAGCAACAAGGGGATTGTTCACACAGCAAGCAGGGATGGGGAGGGAAGTTTAATTTGGTTTAGACAACTCAAATTAATAATCATGATGGAAAACTGCAGAAGGTATCAGCCTGTGGCTGTGGGAGTGGAAAGCCTTTTGTTTTTTAACCTCAGTTAACACATTTGTTTCTGGCTCTAAGTCAGTTGTTCTCCCACCCAGGCACAATTGGTACCATTCCCAACTTATTGATGTCACCAGGACAACCTAAAACAAGAATGGGGTGGATGTGGAAGTGCACCTCTAATCCCAGCACTCTAGGAGGCTGAGGCAGGAAGGAGGATTGCAAATTCTAGCCCTGCAAGGGCAGTGGTGATTTAGCAAGATTCTGTCTCAAAATTTGAAAGGGCTGGGATGTAGCTCATTTCATCATCAATCCTTGCAAGTTCCCTTTCATTTAATGTATTTTAGTTATTTTCCTCCATTTTTGAGCTTCAATTGAGTTTTCTGATTTTTTTCCATAAAGACGTTAATTCTTTTATTCCCCCATAGTGACAAAGTTCATTTGAAAAAGTAAAAGTTACAAAAAAAAAAAAGTAAAAGTGAACCATGAGGGAGAAACTGGCTCTGCAGAGTGAGCTTGGGTCAAGTAAAAGAGGAAAAAGCAAGATAAAAGTCCTCCCTGGAGGAAGTGGGTGAGAACATCTACATCTGGTTCCTGAGAGGTGGTGCTGGGATCCCAGCCTCAGGCTGAGGTCAGGTCTATGACATCCTATTGAAAACCTGCTTGAGTTCTCACAAGAAGTCTGTGTGAAGGGCTTTGAGAGCATGTGTCAGGGATCCTACTTCCCCAGCCAGCTTTCCCCTGCCCTAACTCCTGTCTCATTTCCCCCTGAAAGACACAAATCCCCATAATTTTTTATGGGGTACTGAGAGAGCAGAGGTCTCTGTGTTCTATCACTTCTTCAAGCTGGAAGGGGCTATAGGCCCTACCTTTTGGGGATTATGTCCTCCTCAACTACCTTGGGGTGCTGTGGCTCACTGGCAGGGTTGAAGAAAGAAAAACCTGCCAGAAAATGAGAAAAGAGTTAGTGACCATTGAGCTGCCTGTTTGATGGGAGAAAGGGACTTTACTATTAGTCTAAATATGAGGAGCAGGTCAGATTTCCGCACTTCTTGTAGCAGCACTGGAGTCTTGCTTTTGGAAGAGAAATCTCAAGTCTTCCAGAGGCTCATAGGAGTAGCTTTCTTCTTTTGGGTGGTTTCGTTCTTCAGACAGTTTAGGTGGGACTGGCTTTATTCTGGAAAGATGAATCCAATTATCTGTCCCTGCCACCTTGACTGCAGTGGGTGTGGCAAGGATCACTGAGAAGGGGCCCTTCCATTTTGGCTTTAATTGTTCCATCTCTCCAAGTTTTTATGAACACTTGGTCTCCCAGACAGACAGGAATGGTCCTCCTGGACCAGGAGCAGGCTATCCAAATCCACACATTTGGATAACCTGTTGTACTTGGCCCAGATTAATGAGATATTGTAAGAGCCTTGTGGTCTCTGGGTCTGTTATCATCCCATATAGCATCTCAGATAGGTCACATTTACTCCAGTCTGGGGCATGTTACAAACACTCATGAATGCTATTGGCAGCAATTGAAGCCAGGATTCAGATGTCTCTTAGCAAAGTTTTGCCAAAACTGGCTTTAGGGTCTGGTTGGCTCTTTGTGCCTTTTCAGGAGATTAAGGATCATTTCTCATGTAGGATTTTTATAGCTTGTCACTATGTCCCTTGAGGAAGGACCAGAATGGTCCCTCAGGAAGCGGGAATAAGGCTGGGGCCTTGATGGACTACAAAGCTGCCCTTCTTGCTTCACTAGCAGACTCTTGATTTTCCAAGGAGACGTTAGACATGTCTCCTCGGTCCTTGGCATGACTGTGAAGTGCCATCCTGTAGTTGCAGCACTGAGATTCCTTGGTCTGGGTTCACATGTTTTCAGTGAGCAGGAATCGAGACAAGATCCTTCAATGACTTCACCTCCACCTGGGTCATCACCTATGGTCCTTGAGCTAATCATGTGGAGAAAGTGCTTGATGAACCTCAGAGACCCTGCCATGCTAACAGAGCAGTCACTGT